TTTGTCTTGTTAACAGTTTGACCGAGATTTGAACCGGGCTCAGACCATAGATCAGATATCACACATGGAACTGGGTTGCTAGCTGTTTGGGTTAGAAGTTTTACGACCTCTGTTGTTTTTCTTGACTGCTCCCTTGACTGTTTTCTTTGACAATAAAACAGGGGCTCACGCGGAAGGAGAGCAGAATGCTCTGTGAACAGCTCGGAGGAGCAGTTGACGGAGTTTCTCCTTTTGCAAAAGCTTTGTCATAAAATTCATTTACGTTGTCTGTGGTTCTTTTATATAGGTTTGAGAAAAAGTACCTTTCAAAACCAGCAAAACGCAAATAANAAGTGAGCCGCATTAGCTCCTGGAGATGTGACGTCAACGCCGTAGGTGCAAAGAGCCCATTACACATGGAAAAACTGTTTCTATCTTATTTTTGTAGTTGATACACAGATAATAAGTCAATCTCTTCCTGCTGTTTGTTGATGCCACTGTTGGGAAAATATAAAATATCAAACTACTTAACTAGTTTCAGCTGCACTGCAAAACACAAATCTTACTAGTGTTTAGTATTTTTGGTGCTTTTCCAAGTGTAAACACAATAATACACTTGAAATAAGACGGTTAACTTAAATATCTTTTTCGAAAGACATAGAAGCAAATAATTCCTTAATATTGATTTTATACAAAGGTATTAGTTTCATTGGAAGATTATTTTATAAAAAGATATTTTCCCCAAAACTGACGGAATCTACCAGTGGAAAAGTGGATTTTCTTTTTTAAAATGTTACTGAAGCAGCACAGTGACCTGACTGTGCTACAAAATGGCTTTATGTGCCTGGAAAACACATGCAGCCCCTTTAATTAGTGGCATGAAAAGTCTGATTTCAGTAAAACGGCAGGACTTGAGCATGAAGCCCTGAAGAAGCATAAATGGATCTGCGGTTCTGCTGCCTTCTCACTGCAGGAGTCCATCGGTCATGGGGATCCTGGTGGCCGACAGGAAGTTTCTGGGAGAAATCGGAGTCCTCGATGAAGGAATGAAAGTTTATGGTGGTGAAAACGTCGAGCTTGGAATTCGTGTGAGTAAATCTACAAAGTTTGACTCAAGGCGTCACCAGGCTGCAGCGCCTCCGCCTGTTTACATCCAATAATATTAATAATAATCAGCAGATGTGTTTGCTTTCTGTTCTACTGTTGATGCGCCGCGTCCCGTCCCTCAAACCAAACAAGAACTCTATAAACTCAACAAACATTTCCACTGATCAGAGACGGGGACAAATTAAAGATGACTCACCAAAACAATAAAATGTATTAACAAAGTGCTTCAGTTGAGATTCAGAAAACTTAAATATTGGACTCATCTGTATGTCCATTATTTTATACTGTTCTCATGTTCCAAATAAATAAAAATAAATAACCCAGCTAGATAAAATGTATAATAAAGTTAAGGGACAGTATCATGTAAAATTGACTTTTTTATTTTTCCATCATGTTTTAATGTTTTTTCTCTCATCAAAAACAAACCTGTGGTGTCGCCTTCGGTCTTTAATGTTTGAGAAATCCTTTAATATCCATGGTAACCATTCAGCTGTGTAAAACGTCTGGATGGACCTAGCCCCGCCTTCGAGAAGAGGCTCCTCCCCACTCGGCTCCTTCAGACTAGCAAACAGCTGCTGAGCTCATTATAGGAGCTGCTGCTCAGAGCAATGCTGGTAAAAACATTAAAGGGTTAATAGAGGAGCCATGTTGTGATGAATTCCTGGAGGCAGAGCTTCAGAAAGAGCAGGAGCTTCTTAAAGAGACAGAGGCCCAATTTCAAGACATTAAATTAGTAAAGCAGGTTTTTTTTTAGTAATATTTGATATATTTAAAGTATTTTGATAACAACTGAAGTTAACATAATTACATCATAACATAGTCATGCTTTGGGCTGTAATGATACTCATCTCACGATACAATACGATACATGATATTCTGCTCACAATATATATCATAGTATTCAGCAAACGATACAATTTGATACATTTTTAAGGTTTTCTGAAAAATTTTAGAGGGACGGAGTGATTTTGGTGACATTTTGTGACTGTCCCATTCACTTGGATTGAATTAATTTAACTGATGGCGTAATACTGCAATAAATTGTTTTGTTATACATTTGCTTTGTGTATTTTTTTGTCTTATTCACTTATATTAATGTAATTTATTTCATTTAATTATTTAATTGTAACTGGTTATTTTATTTCATGTCATTTTTAATGTACATGTGCAACTGGGTAAAAATGTCATGAGTGATCTCTGTCATTAATTCAAAGTAGGATTTAATGTATCGATACGTATGAAAAACCTATTAATATCGTAGAATCAATAAAATTACACAGCCCTGGTCGCGCTTATAATAGCACTATGTGCCTGGGAAATGCATGATGCTGCCTCTTTAATAATCTTCTAAAATTAAAGAATTAATTCCCATTTTTATTAAAATCTGTTTGAGATGGTGGACAAATGCTTCTCCAAGCAACGGAGTATTTTTGGAGGAATTTTAGTTTCCATATTCAATGAGGATATTGCACACTTTGTGCCAAATGATCTTTGTTCTTTTTTAAGATGAAAAGAACTACTTGGGGGTGAGGACTGTGACTTGGTTAGCTGTTTATCGTAGCTGGAGACTCGTATGAACAGCTGCATGACTTTAAGGTTTGGCATTCACTAGCTTGTTTTAAACTCTAACTGTTTCTGCACCAGCAGCAGTTCATTTATCTTCAGAGTTTATCTTGAGGTCAACAACGTCGTTCAGCTCAGCTTGACGTTTACAGATCAGTACCAACTCAAACACAGACTGTTGTTTCACATTTTATGTGTTTGAATTAACGGGTTGAGTTTTCTTTTACAACCTGCAGAGGAAAGCTCCCAAGGAGTTGTCAGGATATTTGCAGGTTATTGTTGCTGTTTTCTTTCATTTATGCAGATTCTTCGCTAGGTCTGCAGGGCTGGTGGTGATGAAACATGCTGCAAAGCTCAGAGAGCAAATACCAAAGAATGTAAATTATAGAACTTCAATTGTTTTTTAAATGTTCCCTTTCCTTTAATTTCCTGATTTAACGAACAGTAAAATGTGTGACATCACGTTTTCAATGCTGGATTCGCCCATCGACGCTCAACTGGTTGTTGAAGTAGTGATGGTAAAGTCTGCAGCTTTCATTTCAGTCGCTGAAAAATTATGATGATTTATTCCATGATGAGCAGGAGGAATGTGGTCTAGGAGACCTAACAAACCACCACACTGATTAATTTAAAAGCTCTCTGTCATACTTTTTTTTTTTTTTTTGGTTCAGGTTTTCTGCTCTAATATAACAAATTAATTATTGTCATAAAGGAAAATATTGAAAGAAAAATAATTGCAATGTATTTGAAACTGCTTGCATTAGAAATATTTTGTTTGTAAAATCTTTATGTAAACAAAAATAAGAGCTTAGTGTTAGAGTAGTGGTGAAGTCTGTGGATGGACTTCAAGAGAGAAATGGTGCAAGATTTTATGATTTTTTTCTTCTGGTTGATTTTAGGTTTGGACATGTGGCGGCAGCATCGAGGTCGTTCCCTGCTCAAAGATCGCTCACATCGAGCGTTTCCACAAGCCCTACATGCCGGACCTGACGCCCGCCATGAAGAGGAACGCCCTGCGGGTCGCCGAGATCTGGATGGATGAATACAAACACAACATCAACCTGGCCTGGAATATTCCCTTCGAGGTACGAGAGCCGCAGACGGGAAGCAGCGCATGAGCGCTGTTTTTCGGTATTATCATTTTGTTATTACTTTAGTTCACATTCAGTCTATAGATCGTTGTGATTTTCTGTTTAAAGTGTTTTCTTCCT